AGATAATGACAATTTTATAGACACTTTAGCGCTTGTCTACAGAGAGAGTAGAAAACTAAATGTATAGGGGATGACACTGACAAATGTCAAAATATACGTGAATCCCATATAATTTGGTTTTCTATTCTACATATAGACAAGCGCTAAATGGCATTTGGCTACAGCTGCTGACCTGATAACCAAGAATTCTAATGCATAATATCATATTGTTTAAAAATTATCTTTTCACCAATTAATAGAATTTCACCAATTAATAGTCCCATGTAATAGAACGTGTATATACCGATTATAAAAATAATCCAAATCGATTCTACTATCGATGCAACGGTCAACTCATCTTCAAGGTAAGAAAATTAGCATAAGACAACAATGTTTCTATTTATAACTCAACCTTTATGAACTAGATCTTGGGCGTTTCCAATTTAATTTATGTATTACATAAGCGAGTACATAGCAAAGCGAATTATGCAAATGTAAATAAGATCGTCACTCTCACTGCTTGCTGTTGTTGGGTAAATATTTGTTGTGTGTTTTGCTTAGGAATCATGTGTGTCGAGATTATTTTAGGCTTTTGATTAATCTTGTGTGGCAAAATAGAATACACTTTTGTAATGCTATCCCTACACTTGCCGTGGGTGTCGTAAAACTGACTAAGAAGACAGGCCGTGTTTTAAGATAAACCTGAATCTTTTAAACTGTGATTTCCACCTGTCCTGCCTGCCAAGCGTGCTAAAAACCCAGTAATACTTTGCCCGACCCGGGCAATCGCACTTGCGACCATTTGGTGCACAGATAAATCTCATAAACACTTACGAATCAATCGGAAAGCACGATAGCACTGACTCGATTATACGGTTCATCGTTTCCGATTAATCGATACAGCACAGCATTACTTTAACAACACGACACGTAGCACAATTGAAACCTGTTTGTGCGCAGCAAGCCACGCTGTGTCCTTGATTCGTGATATTTGAGAGACTGTCTCAAATTAGTTGTTTCGAGGCCGAGGATTTAATTCTTGGTTATTCATTTGTTTTTTTTTAAAGAAGATATTTAAGTAATTGCAAAGTGATATAGGCTATTTTTTTCTTTTGTCTTTTGACCACGTGAGTGAAGTCGCTGATGACACAACAGTTAGTTAACACAATAAAAAAAATATAATTTAAACGATGATTTTCCCCCCTTAAAAAGAACCCTCCTATCAAGCTAATAATCTAGAGATCATAGCAAGCCCTTTAATGTAAAACAGGCTTATAATTCAGCAGCAGGCTGCCACGAGCTGTGGATTACTCATTTATACATAATTTTACACACATTACACAAATCCTCGTAAAAAACAATCACAATAATATGATATACTCCCATACTTCATTTAGAAAACCTTGGACAAGCCTAAATTAATATACGCAGCGTCGACTCATCCATAAATTTATGACCATTATTATACCGATTGCATGGACATGGACGTTATCATAAAAACAAGAAATTAATGTCGCCCTACACTCAAATTAGTCACCAAGGATTGTAAGTACATAGCTGAATATAAGCGAATTTGAACTCTATTTTTGTGAAGCGAGAGGTTGATATAGAAATTAACCAGTTATTATATACTTATATATAATGATATAAGTACATTTTAGTAAATAATTTTGTGTATGTATATGCTTAGTAACTTGTGTCGAGTTTAATTTATAACTATTATACCTAGTTATTTCTCGATAAATTGATAAGGAGTTCATAAAATACGTTTAGTCTAATAGGTTGCTTATGTATCGACGTGCTCCATCGCAGACCGCATGATCGCCGCCGAAACGTCGGCCTATAAAATTAAAAAAAGAAGTCTAATCTGATTTAAAGAGTAGACAGTTATTAACATCAATATTATTAGAATAATAAATTTATATAAATAAAAATGAATTTCCGTTCGTTATTCTCAATAAAACTCGAGAACTGCTGAACCGATTTAAATAATTGCAATGTTCGAGGACGTCCAGGGTAGGTTTAAAAGGTGATAAAATAATCTTTGGGTATTTTTTTTATTAAGGAGGAAAATCATCGAATGACTGCTCCCATCTGAGTGAGGCGGGAGGGAGTGTCAGACTCTTACGTACTAAAAACTGCCCCGTTCCTACTCCTGCACGTCGAGCCGGAGCCTCAGTTACCCGTTAGGTTCTCCGCGGTATAAGGTGACAACGCGCAACTTATGTCCACAGTCACGTTGATCTTGCCAGACCATATCAAAGTTGTTTATGTTGAGTCTCATGTGATAGGGGGTGATATTATACTATTAACATAATACCGAGCACGATTCCAGACTCCGTGCTACAACTGAGAATTTAAAAAATACCAGTAATATCGTGCCCGACCCGGGAATCGAACCCGAGATCCCTTGCCCGGCAGTCGCGCTTGCGACCACTCAGCCATCGAGACAGTCCACTTATATTAATCCAGTTATAATTTATATTATGAGCACCATGTTATATGGAGCGGGGTTATTGGCGGCCGTAACAATCATTTATAAACAATTACCATTTCAAAATTTATAATACTTATTGCAATACAAAACTGTTAATACTGTTTCTATGGCAACAATACCTAATAATGAGCATATTTTTATAGGTTTTCATATTTATAGGTAAATATGTTCAAGGATATCTTATACTGTTATATAAGGCTGAATACTTTGTTTGTTACAACGCGCTAATCTTCGGAACTGCAGGTCCGATTTCAATAATTCTTTTTGTTTTTTTTTTATGGGATAAGCCGGTAAACGCGCACAGCAAACGGATCACCTGATGGTAAGCAATCGGCGTCGTCCATGGACACCTGGAACACCAGAGGCGTTACAAGTGCGTGACCGGCCTTTTGGGATTAGGAATTTGAGGATTGTTGGGAATTCAGGGATTGGGGAAATTTTAACTCGTCGAGTACCGTCATTATAGACACAATTATAGAACAATAGGTTGCGGTCACCGGTGACCGCTTGGTGTTTGACAGTTTAAATAAAGATCTATATGACCAAACTCTACGCCAGCGCCGTCTACCGATAAACAACCACATTCCCTACCACGTCTCCTTGAGCGTATCGACTGTAAAAACCCGATCAGGAGATAAAATACTTAATTAACTTACGTCACATGTAAAATTCCAAGTAAATTAATAAGGTAACCGCATACTTCATTATGATTTTCTTCCGTTAAACCTTGTAAAGTAAAAGTATAGTTTTATTTCGCGATTGTTATTTATTCTTCACTATCATAACAGTACGCCTTTATCCCCGAAGGATTAGGCAGAGGTGCACATTACGGCACATAACGCCACTGTACAATGTAACACCCACTTTTTATTATTTATCTTATGAGTCCCATGTAATAGATGAGCTTATTGCCATGTACCGGGCAAAATTCGGGACTCCTTGCTACTACTGAGATTTTTTTTTAAAACCCACTAATACTTTGACCGACCGACGGACAGTAAACCCGGGAATCGAAACCAGACCCCTTGCCCTAGCTTGTTATTTATTTGGTATCCAATATGGCGGGTGGTGACAGTCGAGAAGAATATATTTGTCACCTACTAACACAACTTCGAGATCGATTCGTCTCTTCTTAAGACAAGTATAAAGAAAAGGATGCACTAGCTAGAGGATAAATGTGCGCGCGCCTCAAAGAGCCATCAGACCACCACGGATGGGGCCCAATAGGGTTGATGCCGATATGGAGCCGCGGAGGACTTAACGGTTTGCCGGGGCTGTGTGGCTCGAAGAGCAGGAGTAGGAACGGGGTGGTTTTTAGTCAGTAAGAGTCTGATACTCCCGCCTCACCCAGGCGGGAGAAGTCATTCGATGACCCCCCCCCCCTCCCCCACAACAAGTTAAGCGAATCGGCCAACTTTGCCTGACGTATTATAAGGCGACAACGAGCGAAGGGGTGACATGTGTCGCGCTATGTTGCATTGTTGCCAGACACGTCGACCAAACTCCAGCAACGTCGGTCTACTTCTCTCAGCGTCGCTGGCAACACGTGTAGCAGGGCATTTGTCCCCTAGGCTTTATAACTGTTAAGGTATTCTGTAACTATCAAATCGAACTTTCAAAGTGAGCTCAATCGCATACTCGTCCGTCATTGGTCGAGGCTATTGTCCCAACCAATGATATGGCGGACCGCGATCAAATTTACTTCTATCTTTCGAGTTCAAACTTTGCAGAATAACCAAGCTGATCTTATTCCAAAAACGATGTGTTTTTGACAGAAACCCCACATTAGCTGAATGTTAAAATTCACAGGTTTTGGATTAAGTTAAAATCATCTCGGTGTGAAATTTTTTCTTCATGTTTATGTTTCTAATGACTCAACGATCAACACAATATTTCCACTTCCATTCGCCCACAGACATCATCAGACACATTTAAGTGTGGGAGAGCCATGCTTCGGCACGAATGGGCCGGCTCGACCGGAGTGATACCACGGCCTCACAGAAAACCGACGTGAAGCAACGCTTGCGTTGTGTTTCGTCGTGTGAGTGAGGTTACCGGAGGCCCAATTACCTTCCCCTTCCCCAATCTCCCCAATCCCTGAATCCCCAACGATCCTCAAACTCCTAATCCCCAAAAAGCCGGTGACGCACTTGTAACGCCTCTGGTGTTCTAGGTGTCCATGGGCGACGCCGATTGCTTACCATCAGGTGATCCGTCTGCTCGTTTACCGGCTTATATATTCCATAAAAAAAAAAAAAAAAAAATTTATCTTACAACTCAAATCAATCCATCTTATATATGTAGTTTTAAATTGTATGATTTTATAAATTGTTGTGTGTAAAATGTGTTAAAATGTATCATTTGTACTGAATAAACATCATTTATCGACGGAATCCATCCGAAAGAGAACCTTAACAACTAATTTTTAAGTCCAACATGTTTAAAATTTACAGGGTCATCCGTTTAATCCCGAAAAAGGCCTGAAAATTAGTAAATAATTGCAGAGTTGTGGTAAAAATCTTACCTTTTGATTAATTTTAGCGTGTTTTGGTGCCTTCACAATCGCAGGCTTAGGTGGCGGAGGCACTGGAACGACTGGCGGCTCTGTGAAGAAGATATTTTTATTAGAGGTGAGGAGACCAGATTGGGACATAAAAAAAATGTAGATGATATTTAATTGTAACGAAAATATAACTATGGTCAATTTTTAAAACAACTTGATTGCCTCATTGGTTGATTGGCTGCAAGCGCGACTAGACCTAGCAAGGGTCACATGGTGTGATTTCTTTGCCCGGCAAACCGTCTTTCCAGGTTTTCGGTTCTACGAAAATTTCGTCAAGCTAGGTGTCTGTAATGATTAAGGGACACACTCGTCTCCCTAGGGATGCGCTGTATCAGGCGTTGCACCGTGGGGGCTCCGGAGCAGGTCTCTTCAGAGGACCCGGTGCCCCTTACAGGTGCTGAAGATGGCCACCGGGGTGGTTTTAGTGAGGTAAGAATTCTACACTCCCTAGTACCGTATATGTCACAATGGGCTCACCGTCTATAACATGGACCTCATAACATGACTGTAAAAAAATTTGTTTGCGAGGTTCAACCACCATATATACCATATCATTATAATTTGTTCTAGTAACCGACCATCTTCCCAGTCTTCAATCAGACACAAGCATCCTAAATAACTAGTGCCTTTAGCCAAACGCCACTTTAGCGCTTGTCTACAGAGTAGTTTTTTTTTAGAGTAGAAAACTAAATGTATGGGAATGACATTGACAAGTGTCAAAATTTACGTCAATTCCATATAATTTGGTTTTCTATTCTACATGTAGACAAGCGCTGAATGGCATTTGGTTACAGCTACAGAATAGAGAAAATTCTTACCCGGGTGTACCCTGCCCTGCTGCTGCGGCTGAAGCGGCGACCGTTTCTCCTGCTCTATCATCGCCGGAGCAGCTGGCGGTGGCACTCCTGTGCTGCCCCCTCGAACCTGGTGAAGAAGAGAGGATATTGAATACAAGGTTCAATGGACGTCTTCCAGTTGATGGTGATGAAGTTTCGATTTTTTGGTGTTATATAATAATAAATAGCTGTTAAAGATAAAAGTTTTCTGGTAAAACCGCAAGGAAGAGATAATCAGTTCTTTAATAAGATTTGATACTTCGAGTACTGACTTGATTGACTTAATTGATTGATTTGATTGACTGAATTGACTGCACGGTTGGCGCAGTGGTTGGACAGTTGTCTGCCGCGCAACGTGTCACGGCTTGGATTCCCGCACGGAACAACTCTTTGTGTGATCCAAAAATTGTTGTTCCGGGTCTGGGTTTCATGCGTATGTGAACTTGTATGTTTGTAAACGCACACACGGCACAGGAGAAAATCCTAGTGTGGGGCAACGTTTAAGAAAAAAAAAACCTATGATCGAGCACAACAACACTGCAAATATCAGCTTTATTATAACACATTCAAGTGATATTTCCCGTCGTATAAAAATCCCTAGCTATGTATGTTAGCTCTAAGCATACAGTACAGGTAAAACCCGAGAACGCTTTAAACATTTCTTAGGCAATTTTCCTTGAAGTCATAAAACCAATAACCGCTAAACATTATTTTATTGTTTAATGGTGTATTGTATTATTAACAAAACAACATCTAAAGGATTGTAAATCCCCGTGGAGGTGAGCAGAGAAATAAAATAGACCGGGGCTGCGGACGACTATGCGGGTTACTGGAGCTCCAGTTCAAAGCAGGACTTGGAAACAGGGTGCTGTTCAGTCAGGAAGAATCAGATACTCTCTTTCGCCTCACCAGGGCGAGTCATAAGATGATTTGCCTCCTCAAAAATAAGGCCTTCTTTAGTCCGCTATGATTTAAACTGTCAAACACCAAGCGGTCACCGGTGACCGCAACCTATTGTTCTATAATTGTGTCTATAATGATGGTACTCGACGAGTTAAATATATGTAATTGAAAAATAACCCAATCTATATTCTATACTTTCCCTATCAGCTACTGAGGGGCAGGGTTTAAAAAAAAACCTGTGATCTGCAAGTCGCCTGCCAAGCTTGGCGATTATGGTAAACACTTTCTAAAGTCTTATGTTTATTGTATTATTACATATTGCGATTAGTACATATTATAATATGTATCTGTAGTAGTTAATAGCAGGGCCTCTAGCCAAAAACCACTTTAGCGCTTGTCTACAGAGAGAGTAGAAATCAAAATGTATGGGGATGACACTGACAAGTGTCAAAATTTACGTCAATTCCATATAATTTGGTTTTCTATTCTACATGTAGACAAGCGCTAAATGGCATTTGGCTAGCACTGCTGGATAGATAGAGAACATAAGATGCCCTTTTTTTGAAGAGGTAAAATCATTCGTTGACTTCTCCAAGCCTTAGGTGAGGTAAGAGGGAGTGTTAGACTTTTCTTGACTTAACACCACCACGATCCTACTCTTGTTTTGAGCCTGAACAAACCTTTATAAAGTTTTGTAGTTAAAAAAATATTTTATATTCATGTAATATAAAGTAACAATCATAATAGCATTATGGCAACCACTTGAACAATTATTTTTAAATGGCGATACCAAATCGAGAGCTGATATCGAACTAGTTTACTGTATCGAAAAATAGGGATTGGGCCAAGTAACAAAATGAAGCGGTCGAATTTTTTTTTACTTCCAATTGTATTCACGACCTTCGGGACCACGTTACATATCCTATAGCCATCGTCATCATATCAGCGACACTCTGTCCACAGCCTCACACAGTACTCCCCCAATCACATCGCGAGGTTGGAAGCGACCTGCATACAACGACTGTCGCAGACCTTTGCAGATACTGTAGTTTCGATATTCTCAAAGCATTACTTAGGATTGTGAAACTGATTGAAAAGGAATGAGTAACCATTTTCTTATTCGTTCTTTTTCACATTAATCTACATTTTTGGTAAGAACAAGACGCTTCGAAAATAAGTGAAGCCTCTTGGTCTTCTTGACCGACAGGCAGGCACTTTTAAACTTGAATTTATCATATTTTTTGCTGGAATTGGGGATCGACACCAACCCTTATGATTACTAGTAGTTAAACCCACAAACTGCTCATTATAAATACCGATAAATCACACAACCAATTTGGACTTATCAAGACCCAAATAAAAATCGCTTATCGCTTGAACTTTAAACCACACCCAGAATCAATATGCCAATACTTTTTTTTTTTTTTTTTTTTTTTTTTTT